ATGATACATGCTGGCAAGATAAAACATCACTAGTCAGAAAACCTTCAAAGATATTAGAAAAATCCCTGGTCGACCATTACTACAAACACATATCAACTTGCGTAAATATCTAATAACTGCCTTATTACGTCACAACTGATTGAATCCGAACGCTAGTTCGTACTGATAAATTATTTGTCTAGGTTATATAGTACATGCTTACAAACTCAAGCGCCAGTTATTGCTGTCATCTATTTTACGACTCACGAATACATTTTTAATTCCGTGTTTTGTAATTGTCTGACGTATACTGTATGACACTATCTGAGATATAGATATCTTATACGACTGTTTGAAGCTATACTAAAGTACCTAGAACGTAGCGTAGCAATCAAGGGAAGCTTTACAAACATATAGTCAATATTTTTGTCGTTGCCATCCACCCCTGACCTTCTGCGATGAGGTTTACCTGTATAGCAGTTGCGCTTTAAAACCAATATTCCGTTGAAGCGATAAATAAGCATTCACTTTTGTGAGTAAGGCTTTGAATGTTGTTCTTGACTGATATCACAGTACATAGAAAACGAGACTTCTGAAGTACTGTTTGGACGCTCGCCCTGTGGAAGTATTAACGATTGAATTGCCCGTTTGCAGTATAATGTGACCGCATCAGGTGTCATGCCTATAACATTACACGGTAGTGCGGAAGTACAGTCGCATCATCTCTGCAATACGACAAGGGGCTACAGGATCATATCGCAATTCTTCTGAAAACGCACTCCCCTCTTATGTATAAGTAGGTCATTGATAAATGATCATACGACGTTGACCAATGCAACCAAACCAAATGCTCTTCTTTATTACAATAATAAAAGCAATTCGAGACTAGAAATGTATCAAACAGTAAAGTACTAACTAACAAGCTGAAAATAAACACAAACTAAAAAGGACTAGAATCAAAGGTTTTTGGATTTAAAGCGTCAGTATTTCCATTGATAATATCTGCCATGTTTATAAAGGTCAAAACACAAGTTCAAAGCTGTGCGTCACCCTGATAAAGATAGGAAAACAGACATCCGAACGAATATTTTCAATGCAAATTAGGAAACATACTAAGAGTAATCAAATATCGAATTAAGTTGTATTTGAAATGAGAGGCAGAGTTATGACAACAAATACGATCCCACACACATTATTGTAATCTGCGTTCATGTTAGATACCAAAACGCGATGCAAAATCAATGTAGAGAAAGATGATATCGGAATTCTATGCTGTATTAAAATCATCAATAGTTCAATGATATACAGCTAAAACAAACTCCTATATGTGAAGGTCTGGCTTGTATTTCTTTGATTTGTCATTGGATAATCTTACACATTTATCTGCATTCATATCGGGATGATATACTCTCCTCGCCATTACCGTGATCGTGTCGATACCGACCGCGAGCATTGAAGGTGAAAGGCAATGCTTGACGTGAAAGTGGTCGTAAATTGTAAATTTATAATAATGGATGGAATAAAAAGAAAACGTTTCTTTCAATAACACATGATTTAAATTACAATGCAACAATTACTTGTAACAAGTGTCAGTCGGTGCAGACACTAATTTTTAAAGTGAAACGCCTGATTACTACAGCGTATCAAATCTAACTTACTTCCCCTTCTAGTGTGGGGAGCTGTATAAGCATTTGTCATATTTTGAGGTACATACGTGGGTAGAGCTGTATCGTCATTCTCAGACTCATCAGTGACTCTAAGGTCATAAACCTACAACGCGAGTGAGGGAAATAGCAATTAATGGTAAAAAATGTCTATATGATGGACTTTTGATTTCCGAGATTTGTCATACACTGCATGTCCGTTTTTTATTCATCCGAATACTTATAGTAGTACAATTCAGAAAATAAATTTGTACTTAATGTTCTTATCAAGCACCTTATGATTTCGAAACGTATCCAATAATGGTGCTAGGCCACCATCCAATTAGAATTTTTAATATTTCTTCCGATCACTTTTAAAATTGCCTTTTCGCCTCCTAGACTTAAAAACTTAGTCCTTAAGAATCACTGACGAGACCTAGAGGGGTGAAACAACTGTATGATGCAATCCTATTCATTGTTCGACTGCTGTGTCTAATGTTCTGGTTCTCTTGTACAATTTGGACGAAGTGATGCAGTAACATCTACAATTAATTTAGTTTCTTGATTTTCCTATGTGTAATTTTTCATTGATAGATTTTTACGTTTACGTGTCCTAGCTATGGTACAGTGTTTCTTACTTAAGTCGGCTTCCATTACCGAATAGAGATATAGGTAGGTTATCTAATGGTAGCAAGGAGTTACTTAAAATCTGCACACAGTCTGACTGATTTTCCATATTTAAAACCAAAACATTTCATCATGAAAGAGCTTTAGCGTTCCAAAATTGATAAGGGTCGTGCGACTGCTTTTGAAAGGCAGGGTTAGTTGTAAAATCAATATGTAATATGGTATCCATCGTAAGACAATTTGCCGTCTCCTCAATAAACTATGTCATATAGAAAGAATCCCCCCACCCAAAACTGTTTCGTACATATGGCTGCGCATCTACACATTTTTTCGATAATCATTATTTTAAATGATTCCTTGATGATTAGATTGTGCTTCGGGATTATTTTGTAATTACTGAATACATTTTGATTTTTCTTGTCATATCACAGACGCCGTATCCTGATCCAAATCAGTAGCCTGTGTGCCCTCCCCTACTCTTACTCTCTTTAATATTGACCCCAACAATGTGTTATTGTCCTTTGAGGTATATTATTCCATTTCTAAATAAGGGCCTGGGTAAGCTGAGCGACCTTATGTATGATGTTGACGCGCATTCAAACCCTCCTGTCTTGCTTGTCCTACGAATGCTCGTTTTGGGACAATCCGCGACTGCATGGTAGCCAATCAAGTACTGAGGCGCTGTTTTGAGCAGAAAATCACGACAAAACCATAGCAATATGGGGCCTCGCGTTGTTCTTCTACAACGTAAGGTTACGTTGATGGATAAGATAGAGGAAAGACGTGTGATCTCAAGACATGATCCCGATATGTTACTGATGTAAGATTGCCATGGATAACCACAAGAGGTGTTTTCGTAGTTACAAATGGTGATTATCATTACCTTCCTTACTGGAACGGCGGATATTGATTCTGTTCTATAACGATGATTAGCGAGTCGAATGATTTTTGTGGTTGAGAAAAAGAAAGCACATATTTTTCGTACCCGCCTCTTCTCGCTGCCAGAGACGACTTTTTGGAGGAAATCCCGATCTTTAACTAAATATTGGAATGTACAATTTAATTCGCAAGGGAGTACGTGCATTCCATTCGCTCGCATTATCGATCAATTCTGTTTGTCATTTTTTATAGGAGTAATCGTGAATTTGACTGAATTGTCAACAGAGCAGTTTTCAATTAAACTACACTTATTACGTAATTTAAGTTTCTCTTAATTTACTAGAAAACTCCTTTAAAACGCTTTGTTTTTTTATCCAGTTTACTCAGAACAAGCTGCAATTTGTGACAAACACTTCTGTAACCAATTATAAACATGACGTAAACACGTTAAATTTGCTTATGGAAAAATCTGAAATCCCTTGTCTTACTAAGCTGATATTATCAAAAATATCTTCTTGTATAAGAACCGTGGATTTGATGTGATGTGTGATGGATTAATTTGTATAAGGAGGGCTATGAACGTTTTACAGTTTTACCCCCGGAACATATCATCATTAAGTCATTTTATTATTTGAATTCGAAAATTAATTACGGTTATTGTCTTAAAAGCTGATTTTTTAATTCTGAATTTTACTCATTTTTTATCTAAGATAAAACAAATTGAAAAATCATTAAACCGGCTCATTTTCTCTAGATGTCAATGAATCGTTTTGCTAAAAATAGAATTATTTATGTGGTGCATACTTTAAATTCTTTGAGTAAAATTATTCTAAAATTCAGACACGTATTGAACAAGTATATAATATCAACATATTTACTTATTTGGAAATCTAGAGCATTTTCGGTCTCAGTTTCATACTAGGGTCGGTCTCCATAAAGATCTATCTATTAATCTGTATACATTTAACGTTAAACTCTTTGTAACGTTGTCTCTATGTAGATCTTGTATTGGTGTTAAATGCATTTACAAATGTTAGTCGCTTCCTGAGTGTTTTGGAGGAGATGATGTCAACTACGATGTATGCCAATAAAGTAAATACTGTGTGTACATTGTATATAGCGCTATTTCGTTTGAGTGTGATTTAGAAGAATATCCCTTCGAAGTATGAGTTGTTGATTTAGGAACAAAACACTAAATGTTTCCTAATACCAGAATGAAAATTTGAAACGATAAAACATTTGCAGATTTATCTATTAATAGTCTAGTATGTGTTAACGATTGCATTTATCTGTTGCATAACTCGTTGAATATAAGATTTCAATCGATTTTATAATCCAATTGAATAAGAGAAAGGCATGGTGCATCTATATCAGGATTTAATAGAATATTTCTCATGAACATTGATAGCATGGCGTTAGGAATTTCATAAACTCAGTGTATATGTTTATTTATATTGACACTAACTTCTTGCAGCGTTCATAATGATTGTTATTTGACTAAACACCTTGCATCAGTTGTTTGTCCATACTATACCGACACTCTAAGCTTGTTTTAAATCAGAGAAAATCAATATCTATTTGCCTAATACAGGAAAGGCATCAGAAAAAAACACTTTGTGATTTGCAAGTTTAGCATTTTGCATGCATCTCATATCTAAAACATGAAAATCTAAAATCTTCTTTAAGCAAAATGCTATATGACAGAATCTTCATACTTCATACCTAAATTCGAACATTTCCGTACTTCTTACAAAGAATGATCACCTTGGACGACAAAATGTAATACAATAGGATTTTACATGTAAATGTTGTGTGTAAAATGATCTAGAAGTAATTCATTTTAATACATTATTCAATTTCTTCAGTTCTTACCTGTCGTATGCACTGTCTTGAAAATGGAGGCTAGGAGTCCCAGTATAACCATGACAATTTCCATTTCTGATACTTAACCTGTGATTGGATGAAAAGAAAACTAATTAGTACGTTTTGCTCAGATTTATAAATTAACAGCCATGGCCATAAGGACGGCCTCCCTTTGTATGCGAGGCCGTCCTTATGATTGTGGGAAGCTGAGATATGTGCTAGTATGCCTCTTTGTAATAGTATGGAATCGATATCACATTTAAGTATACTGCCAAAGGCACTAAGAAGGAGTGTATATGCTCTGACAATGCTTACAATATGCAAATCAGTTATGACATTACGACAGTTTCAATCGTTAAACAGGAAACGGTAAACACCATAACAATAGACTCTAATTTGTCTTGGTATGGCTTTAGACTTAACCCAAAGCCTATGTCAACTTAAGGCCAACTGTGAGATAGTATAAAATAAAACATGAAAAGGAAAGGTAAGATTTTAAATTTAGTCGCCTCCTTAGATCATGCAATGTAGCAGCAGGTACAATTCATACCCCTTCTTGCAAGGCATCTGCACATCGAGTTGTTACACAGCTGCATATTTGAGGCAATTAAATTTGACACGTGAGAGTTTATCTGCGCACAGGGTGTGAACATTCGTATGTATATATATCGGATGTCAAAATCCCCAAATAGGGACCAAATTATGAGGTCAAATGTCATTTTGTTGCCAATTTGAGTTACCATAAAGAAGGTCTGGTCACCATTTCATATCGTAAAATTCAACAGCAAAATGACACATGGCATGTGAAGCATATAATTAGAATCACACTTAGTAAACATTTTAAGACATCAAGATAACAAGTCAGAATTAATATGGTACGGACGGACCTCAGGTTTAAATTTCTTAAAAGGGACAGTTTGATTGTCCATGATACTGAATGACAATAAACCTTTCTTTACCTGTGAAAATTACTATGTCATTGACGCTTCGGAAGTAACTCGAATATCTTAAAACACCGTTTGTATTGTAGCTGAAGGAATCGTGTTTTGATTTAGAAGGAAATAACGATGATAATGATATTTCACTCCTGCAAGATATTGCCTTTTCATAGCAGCAAGATGAATTCATTTAAGATTCCCTTATGTAAAATATCATTACGGTCGTACCAAAGCGAGGATTCTCTTTATTTCACTCCGTTAGGCGACAAAATAGCATTAATAGCTAAAAATTATTATATGTTTCTTAATCGCGTTTTAATGTTCGTTATTCCGTTGTATGGCTATAAAAAAGACAAGGTTATGTATAGCAACAGTAGAAAATGTTGAAATAACGGCTCATTTAAGTAATCATACTTTCACAAGACTTTTAGTTTTTAATTTGCCTTCTCAACATGCCGACCTTGATTGTTTTCTTTAACAAAATCAACGATGATAATCAAAACTCCATAAAGTAAACGAGAAATTTAATCTTTCTTGCATAAGCATAAAAGATTCAATATTCATATACGCTATCAGTATATTTATGATAGGGTTGATACTGATTTAAATATCATTACGGTAGTGGGTGTGTTTTGGCATTGAACATGAAACAATAAAAAACTTGAAATAAGTCAGAATTAGCACAATTGATTTATACATATTGACAAAATTATCTCAAAAAGAACATAATTGAATTTCTATCGATCTTATTTTACATCCAAGGCCGGAAAAGAAATTCAGAAATAAATTGATTAATAAAACATTATCGAGTATCACGCACAGTAAAATACACCTTATGAAGTCGGCGCTTTGAATTTTATGTCCCCGGTGTATGCATTTTTGAAGATGAAATATATATATATGAGATGTTTATTGTTTAAGGTGGGTTCGAGACCGAAATGGCCCGGATGTGGCTTCAAAAAACCTATGAGCAAGAGGCGGGTTCGAGGCTAAAAGGTCTCAGGTTAGTTTTCAAATGCAAGTTAAGGTTGATGCGGGAAACCATTGAAGCATTTGAGGAATAAAGTTGCGTCTTAATAATAATGTTCTATGACAATCGAGTTTTAATTGATATGAATGTCTGATTTTTCTTCTGAGTAACTGCATTTTCTGTTTTGATGTGACTCACTTTACTTCTTATTAGAAAACCATACTTTTTTCATATTTGTTACAAATCTTTAAAATTTAAATGGAACGCTGACCCTTCCAAAACGCATGATCCACTTCACTAAAGAATGCTTCAACCAAATTTTGGCAAAATCAAATCATTTCTGCGGAAGAAGTTGGCGTTTAAAGAATTTGCTCTATTTCTCCTATTTGGCTCCGCCCCTTCCGCCCTTCGTGGCGGATACCAAACGCTTTATCAAAATTAATTCCCCTTCATCCAAGAATTCTGCAGACCAAAATTTGGCAAAATCTCCAATCATTCCTACAGGAGGGGTAAGGTTTTAAAGAGTTTGCTATATTTTCACTACTGGGCACCGCCCCTCACGCCCCCGGGGTCAAGACCCAGCATTTTCGTCAACGATTGCGTTTCCATTTGCAATTATTTAGCCATGATTGCATTTTTGTTGCGTTTATAATAACTAACCTTTTGATGTCTTTTTTAATAAACCATCTTTGAACCAATCAATCATTTTGGAATGTGTGATTAAAATGAGTTAATATTGACAATGGCGTATTAAATCCTTCCTATGTGATACAGGCAGTAATGTAGCACAAAGCAGGAAATATCTCTAGTCTAAGCCTTGTCCGTTTAAAATGTATATGGAGCGTTATATATCAAAGGCTGGCATAGTCAATATCGGACTTGAATCGGCAATAAATGGGAATGTCTATCATTAACCAATTTGTCTATAAAGGCTTAACGACACCCAACAGACTCAAAGGTAGAGCAAACCAGAGAAATGTAGCCATATTGATTCCACACAAATGTTAGGATTTTCTCTTAGATCTTGTATTTACTATTGACAAACTGGACATTACATGCAGGCATCTGAATTATGTCAATATGCACATCCTTTGACGTGTCTGTACCTATGTACTCTTACCTATAGCTAACGCTATTATTTTTTCAGACTTGACGTGACGGGCCCAGATTAGATATCCTTTTTTAAACTATTCGTGACATTCTGTTTTCTGTTGGGTATAGATGTAGATATGCACTGTATGTATTTGATCTGCCTTTTGATGACATGTGAACGCCATTTTGAACAGTATAAGCAAGGTATCAGATCGGTGTATGAGGTTGGGTTTACTCCCTAGACCATTCAGATCCGACGTCCCTACAAGATATCATGTCCTTAGATTAGTCTCCTTGAGGACAGTTAAAGAAGGATGCAGGGAGTGCAATTCCGGCTGTATTTAAATACCTGTTTCTTTTTTAAATAAGAAGACAGACGAAAACGAACACATTTTATGAGCCGTACATTTTTTTTATCAAAAGATATGTTGGAAGATAAAGTGGTGTTGAGTAACGCCTATCACCAACTATGGTCATTTAAGGACGACCTCATCATGTACGTGAGCTCAAACAAGTGTTCAGAGCTTGCATTTTTAACTGATTGCAGCACCGTTGTAAAACAAATACAGAACTGATGCCTACTGTATAGTGTTATCATATAGAAATGAACTGCCAAAGCTACCCTGCAGCACACCGTGAACGATTACGAAATACTGGCAATTGGCATTTCTGCCCTCACTCCATCACGATTTTTCAGATAAATGAAGCATAGCTCTTTGACGTAAGACGCTTTTGAGGGAGTGGTGGGCGTCATATATGTATATCAAACACGGTAGACACTTTAGATATAAAACATAGCAACCATGACGTAGGGTGTGATTGAGGGAGTGGTTCACGTCATATATATCAAAAACGGTATTCATTATGTGGGTAAAGGGGATGGTGGCGTCTTTTTATCGAGACCTCCGAAAAACGCGTTCATTAATCAATTAATCTATCTTTCAATGTCAAATGAAATCATCGTGCAATATCTTTGGCATCGCCTCCGATGTAACTATATAATATACAGGGGTTACACGGTATTATTAAAAGCAACATCCTGTGAGGTTGGGGATTAATTTGCCTATTTGCACCACAATCATGATCAATTCCGAGATAAGAAGCTTCTGCACACAGCATGGTTTGACAAGATGGATAAGGAAATAAAGACATATGGGGTATGTATATAGGCAGCGTTTAGAAGCTAGGTTGAGTTCGATCGGAATCCGACATAAATAGTCTTATGCTCACAACAACGTCGATATCATTTCCTCTTAATAAAATAGGATTGCAAAGAACGGGGAAATTACATGCATCCCTATAAATCGAAAGAGTATTCAGTTTAAGTTGTTACAGAACATAAAGTAATCACAATATATTTCATGAGTACTGTCTATGTAAGCCAATCTTTTGTCTTTACTTCCAAAGTCTACCAATAAACAGCAATATTTTCTTAGTGCATTTAATGCCATTTGTTGTGATCAGTTTCTGGATTGAAAATATAAGGCTTCGTGTTTGCTTATTCAGCATTATTTTCAAAAAGTCGAATCAAGGTGCTGTCCACGATGGGACAACTCGAAGACTATTGCACTAAGACCGTTGGTTCTTTTATTCTGAAAACATCATACTCCGAAGGAATATTGTGTCCAGAGTTTGTGTAGTGCCAATATTGCTCAACCAAATATGACAATAGATTAGGTGAAAGTTTTGAAATTTAACAAAGCAGTAAACAAACTAGAAATACCAAACCCTAGAGTTGCAACAAATTTAAAACGCCTTCCCTCTTACTTAGAAAAATACACTAATGACATTCTCTAATTCCGAAATGACATCAGAAAACATTTCTCTTCAAGACTTCGCCGAAATTTTTGATTTCATATTTAGAGTTGGGGATGATTAATATCACGGACATTCTTAACTGTTACGTAAACAGAAGTGGACAAAGAACAGAAAATTTCAAATTAAGATCAGATACCAAAGGAGAGAACATCTGGTACCAGGCTGACAGCGAAACAAGATTGGCAATATCATGAAAAAAATATATATATATATAATTCGCCTCTACGAATGATACCGAACATTTAGATGTTCCAT